CCAAAGCAAACAAACATTGAGTCCTCCATACAATTCAGCTGAATTCCATAGCTAACCTTCACGATTACGTCCCCAGTCTACGCAAAGGGAGGCTGAAGGCTAAGAGCCAAGAAAGGAGAATGAATGTAAGTAAAAGTGTTGCGTTGGAATGTTTGCATTGGAAGAGGACCGTGGCCGCGCCGTGGCCGCTCGCTCTAGATTTATTCGTTTCTAGCGTTTGGAGCAAGACGCGTTCATCCAGTTGAGTGCAGTTTGCATGCATCTCTTGTCTTCCCTGGGGTTGTGTGAACCACTCCACCCTCACGACGACACGAGAGCTCTCCTCCAGGAAGGTGAGGCTAACAGATAAGTGGGCTTCACTGGTTGCTTGTTTGGTGTCGCGCTAGGTATGGTAGTCGACTCATCCAGGTGCACTGGTGGATAAGATACTGTTTTAAAGGTTGCAATGGCATTCTCGTTTCATTGTCCATAGTCAGTTCCCGCACTTCGGTCTCCCATCGTTTAATCTTGAGCAAAAGGAGCAAAGCCATATCGCCTCGCATGCATCGCATACACCGAGCAGAGGAATGATCGACTAGTCTATCAAAAACGACTCTTTGGTCGCAAATTCACAAGAGTCTTTCGCAAGTATGCAAATGCTGTCTGTGTGTGTCTGTAACCAGACCTCAAGTCTATCTGAATTCCTTGCAAAGTGATGGAAAAGGTTTCTCACCAAAGCCCATTCCCATCTGCCCTTGGTCAAGCCTTTCTAGACATATTCCTCCTCGCCCCGAAATGGGCGGTCGTGGTTGCGTTGTGTGTGCATACATGTGCAAAGAAAGATTCCGATCCGTGCTGGTCCGCCGGAGGGAATCAGCTCCGTACGGTCCATCTAATCATGTGCTGCGAGTCCACACCATTATGAGTGCCGGAGAGACGCCCTTCTAAAAACAGGGCAAACGATTTCCCCACCTCTAGGTGGCATTGTTCGACTCAGCGGGAGACGCACCATCCACCCCTTCCTCAGGTTTGGGGTCTAGATGAAAAGCTCTCTTTTGCATGCCGTCAAGAGCATGTCTACCTTCTTCGTTCAAGTCCGGCTTTCCACTGGATTCTGTGGCGGCAGTAAAGAAGCGGGGTTGGAATTCAACATTTAACTCTTTTCTCTTGGCGGCCTTGTCGCGCTGTGCTTGTTCCAGGTCCTGCTTAATCCTCGTGGCATCAGCGAAGCGCTTCTCGAGGATTGATGACGTCACCTCCTTCCAGAATGTCCGCGATTCATTCGGCAGCTGCTCTTCTGGTGGGGGTACAATCTTGGGTACGGGCATTAGTGGTGCCAGATCGATGAGAAGCTGTTTGTCCGATGTAGGGTCGAGATCTTTGGAGGCTTTGACAGCGTCGCTCTTGGGGATTGTATATGTTATCTGCTCCTGCCAGCAGCCTTCGAGATTCGCAAGGACGTCCTTACTGGGCACATCCTTGACTCTCACATACTTGTCATCTGCGGGGTCATAGCGGTAGATGACGCCATGGACCCTGTTCTGTGCTTTTCCGAACCAGCTTTCTTCGACATAAGTGAGAATGCATTTTAGTTTTGTCGCGGGACAGGTGATTGTGCATGTATCGGCGACTGAAATGTACAAGGACCCTCTCAGGAGGCCACCGAGTGCAGCGGCGGGATGGGTGAGTTGATACTCCTCGTTACCCCGATTTTTGAGGGTAATAAAGATACCGCGGTTGTAGTTGCCGGGGATTACACGGACAGAAGTGCCAGTAAACTTGGCCGAAATCTGGTCATAACCTCGTGCAGAGACGCCCCGTTCCGGACAGTCGTAGTAATATGCAGAAACGGGTGGGTGGTGGGAGGTCTGCTCAGTCAGAAAAGACACTGTGATTGGAGTCTGCTTGTCGGTGGGAGCGAGTGGATCGGCGGAAGGCTGTGGCGGGGCTTTGGATGGCTTTGATATTGACGGTGCGGTGTCACTGATCTCCCAATTACACTATATCAGGCGAACTCTGAGTTAGAAGAAGCTCTTCAACGAAGTATAAGAGGTAAACCCAGGGCCCAAGTAAAGTAACGTAGGATTGTGAGCACAAACCCTGAAAAACTCTCCGAGTGTCGAGTTGTAAGGTTTGCAAGGTCTTCCTTTAACGTATTTCTGCGAGTATCATGAGCGATGCTGTATCATTCACTGTCGTGTGGTTCTCACTGACCAGATCCTTTGTGAACCAGAACCTGAGAACTTCAAGCATACGCCCGAGATCGCTATCTGATGTGCCGATGCTGTAGAATACAAGTCAACAACTCGAAGAATAGTTGGATGGGGTAGGCATACCTTGCAAAGGTCTCGGGACGATCAAGATAATGCCAATACTCTGTGTTTGTTATGATCCTGCTCTTGACGGTAAAGTGATTCACGGGAAGGTACCTAGGTTCGGGATAGGCTCTATCAATTGAGAAGGCAAAGAAAATCGAACATTTGCGATGTCTGCGACGCCAACAAATCTGCGGGGGTTTCTCTGGTCAGTAAAGTGGTCCAATTCACCAATATCATGGGGATGGGGATGGGGATGGAAAGTGCAGCACCAGGCTCCGGGAAATGAATGACGTACTTTCTCAACAACCCCAAAAAAGTCCGTAGCTTTGACGAGTCATCTTGCAGCTGGTTGTCCGCAGCTGCAGTGGTCGGGGGAGTGGATAGGTTTGGAGTGCCAGGTCTAGAGTTCGGCGTCGAGGTCGCTGGAGTCGCAAAAGGTGTATTGGACGTAGATGTCATGATAAGGCCTCGGACAGCGCGGCTGCGCAGAGAACGCGGTGAGGTGGTGAAACAGGCGAGGCACCAGGGCTTGTGCAGCTACTGTGGAGGTGGATTGGAAGAGGCGAAGGGAAGGTGGAAGAATAAGTACAACGGAATAGATGGAACAGAAATCAGCGCCAGAAAAGATGGTTGTAGTTGGGAGTATCCAACCGGAAGCAGCAGATTGTCGTCGTGGCTGTATCAAAACTGCGGGATGGAACAAGAAATCAGTTGAACGGATGGATCGTGGACTCGCGGTCCATGGATGCAGTGGATTGATTTGATTGCCTTGCAGGCGAGGCGCATGATTCGTAAGTGGCCCGGCAGACTGCCCGCATGACGTGCACATCGCCCAATGCCCAGCACCAGTGGCTGCCATTTAGGTGCCATTTGGGTGCCATCTCCACAATTTCAGCGCTGCAATCGCACTGACAAGTCGACAACATCTCGTACAGAGTCATGCTTGACTTGGGAGGTATCCCTACTCCGGGCCAGGACGAGGAAGGCTACCTAGACATGCATAGTAGAACGAGGTGGTGGTTGAAGTTGGGTGTGAGTGAGATCACTGAGATGTGCGATGCGGTTGCCGCCTGGACTCTTACTAACTAATTAGTTCCCCTTACTGTACGGGTTAACTCACGGGTGCCTTATCGTGCATGACAGGGATGCGGGCAACGGTGATGAAGCATGCTTAACCTGATTCCTGAATCCTGAATAAGGCTTAATTGACATCCTCATGATATCTGAGGTCCAGAGTACCTCGTACTCGATACTCGCACTGACTGTCTATAATGGCACCCCTGCCTACCTCAGTACATACCTCCTCGCAGGCACTTCCTAACGCCTTACTGACTGTTAGAGCACAAAATCATCAACAGCCCCCACCGTGCATGCCTGCAACTAACAGAATACACATTCCAGGCCTGCCGGTCTCACTTCCTCTCAAACTTGAGCGACTTATTTTGCAGCACGACTCTCAACACCGCATAAAATCCTGACAACACCGCTGCTCGGATTGCACCTCCAGACAAGCTTCCTGCACCAAGGGTGGCTATATACCAAAAGAGACTCAACTTTTCTCTCCCCTCTCTATCGAAATTGGGACTAAGCTTTCCCATCCTGTTAAACTGCTTGAGTTTGTCGGTGCCCGCGTAGGGTGGGTATCTCACTGCCAAGAGACTCTCCATCCAGCTCGGTGTTCGGGCAATGGATCTCGCGTGTGTGAAGCAGTCAAAGGACGCCTTCCCACGATATGCTCCGGTGCCCGAGTCACCAACACCACCAAAGGCCAACGTAGGAATGATGCCATGGAAAAACCCGTCGTTGACTGTGGCACCCCCAGAACGTGTGCCTGCGAGAATCTTGTCTGTTTCAGCCTTGGATCCAAATGCGTAGACTCCTAGTGGTGTTTCATGCAGTTCGTTGGCGATTTTGATCGCTTGATCCAGGTCGTCGACTGGAAGAATGGGTATCAACGGTCCGAACGATTCCTCGGTCAAGAGAGCATCGCTGGGGCTCGACACTTGCACCACCGTCGGCTCAATGAAGCGCTGCTCAGCATCCATCGTTCCACCAACGACGATCTTACCTCCGGTCTTGTCTAACATCTTCTTGATTCGGTTGAAGGATGCGTCATTGACAATTCTGGCATAGTCCGCACTCTTCTTCGCGCCATCTGGATAAAATTCCTTCAAAGCAGCCTTCATCTCGGCGATAAATACTGGCACAACCTCCTTGTCGACGAGGGTGTGGTTCTGAGAAATGCATACTTGGCCAGCATTCATGGTCTTTGACCATAGCAACCGCCGAGCGGCCAAGCGAACATCGGCCTTCTTTGTAACAAAAGCCGGGTTCCGGCCACCCAACTCGAGTGCAACTGGCGTCAGGTTCTTGGCGGCGGCCTGCGAGACAATTCTTGCAGTACGGACGGAGCCGGTAAAGAAGATCTTGTCCCATTTCTGTTCCAAAAGTGCCGAGGTCTCAGGAATGGCACCTTGCACGACTGTGTAGGCATCGGGGTCAAGAGCTTCTTGCACAATCTTTTGCATTACGGCAGCACAGTTGGAGGATTGTTCGGATGGCTTCAGGACGACGGTATTTCCACCAGCGATCGCACCTATCATGGGACCAAACGAAAGGTTGACAGGGAAGTTGAAGGCTCTGAGAGTTGCATCAGCATCTGGAGATTTGAGCAACGGTATAAAGGGCAGCTACCCGATGACCAACACCACGCCCAAGGGATCCTTCCTTATCCTTGGGCTCATCAGACGGTTGGATAGTGCAATGTCAGCAGGCTTTTCGTCTTTTGCCCATTTCTTCAAGTTCTTGGTAACAAAGATAATGTCATTTCGCACCCAGTCTATTTCAGATACCATGGCATCGAAAATGCCCTTACCCAGGTCTTGCTGGCATGCTTCCACCAACTCTTTTTCATGATCAGTGATTGCCCAGTAGAGCTTGCGGAGTTGCTGAAGACGGAAGTCAAGAGGGCGGGTCTTCTGGGAGTAGAAAGTTTGGCGTACCCGGTTGACGATCGAAGGGATATCGTCGACCGGCGTAGTAATGAAAGGTGGGAGCTGTACCGAAGCCATTGTTTGTGGTTGTGGTAGTCAAAAGTGTTTATCCTCAGTGAGTGGAAGGCGCACGCTATAAAGGATAGAGAGGCCCAAGACAAGGAAGAGCGAAACCAGCTCTACATATACATGCAGTCTTCTCCAGCAGTTATAGCACTGGGAAAAGGGAAACGCAGATGGACGAGACTGGTCAGTGGAGGAAGAAGTTGATATTGCAAGTTGTAAGCGCGGTGCAACACAACGTGCCTCGGTTCGAGCCAGCAGGCCCAGGCAGGCAATGCAGTTGGGTGGTCAGCAGCCAGCGACATGATACGAGGGTTTACGAAATACGCGATCTGGCGAGAGCGGAGGTGGCTCATCAAGGAAAAACTTCTCAATCTGGCATTGATCGTGCGGATTCATTGGTACGAAGTCCTATAATTAGTTGTAACCAAAATGTCTACGAGTACTCGTAGGTAGCAATCCAACCTTGGAGGAGGGGAAAAACCAATCCCATGTGCTGGGCGCTGCCTCGACCCCATACTACGAGTAGGGCGCTGAATTTGTCTTGTCAAGCCACAATTTGGGGCGCTTCGATCCTAACAGCGGCGGTCAGCAACCAGGATCAGAAGTTCAGAACAGCCACTCCCAGAGCACTCTTTATGTAGAGTCCCGCCAAAGAGCATTGTGCTTGAAGTCAACAGGCTCGCTACCTGGCTTAGGGGCACTCAACATGTAAGCGACAAACAGCTCGGAGCAACCTCGTTCTATTTGCAGTCCTACAAGGATACATTCGTCTGAGAGCTGAAACTTCGAGATCGTTATTGCCGCTTTCCCTTGACGATTCTGGGATCATCTTGCCGGTGCATGACGATATGGCTTGACAGTGGACACGGGAGGTGAAGAAGAGCGCTTGGGCACCCCTCACTATCGCCACTACGATGTATCAGTATCCCTTGGAGTTGCACCGCACCGCACAAAGCACTGTCCTTCCCCTCATCTTGCGGTTTCAAGGTGCAAGTCAGAGACTCCAGAGTCCAGGTTCTGAGATCGATGTTCTCTCTGCCGCTTCAGCTCATCTCTCCAGCGACGACCGAGACTTCTCACCTTCTTTCACTTTGTCTGCATTCCCAGTCATTACGTGCCTCATTTCATCCCCTTTTCTTTCCTTCGCTTGGTTCCTTCCTCTTGCTTCTACTCGTGTTTGTAATTGATCACTGTTTCTTTCAAATGGCACCATGGCAGTGTTTGTCGACCTTGATGACGATGACGGTCAACAGTCTCACAGTCATTGGAGTCAAAAGCTTCACTTGGCCCAGCCTGAACGCCGCCAGCCAGCCCTCTCAGGCGAGCTAAAATTGGTTGACGACAAGACTGCAACAACGCAGACTCGCGACGTCACTCCCGTAGATCCTCGTCCTGCAGACGAGCAGGTCACAACCAACAAATTGGCTGCTGCTCTTACATGCTACCCGTAGGCACTACTGCTGACCATGTTCGCCTCTAACCCAGGTCTTCCACTAACCCTAATGCCTAGGATTGCCTTGTCGTTGGCTTCGCGCCTTGACCTCAACGACTTATATGCCTTGGCATCCACCTGTCGGATGGTCCATCGAAGCCTGCGACAATATGCACAGCACCTCAAGGCTCGATCCCTACGTTGCAGCCGAGATGGCACATCAGATGAACAGACTCACACTGTGGATGAAGAATTGCATGGCCAAGAGCCGGTGATCGACATCTCGATCTACACAGCCGCCCCAACCCAGCGATTTGAGCACCCACCTGATCTGGTAGCAAGAGCAGGGTATCAGAGTGTGCCTCACAGCTTGCCTTCTCCGTTGGGTATTTCAAACAAAATCGGTGCCTGCGCTCGAGACTTGGTTGGAGAATGTCGCAGTTGTGGAACTATAGTCTGCCGCAATTGCACCATCAAAACCCCCACTAATGCCTGGCTACGAGATCGATATCGGAGACTGTGCAAAACCTGTTTGGATGCCCCTTTTGAAGAGCACCTCCATCCGCTGTGTTCGCCATCGGACGGAGCCGATGGGCAGCTTCCATCCAGTGCAAGTTCAATCAAGTCGGAACGTTCATTTTCCTCTTCTTCGTCCTCAAGTGAGGATCGACCCGTCTTTCCTCGGGTCGATCACGATCAAGAAGATGTTGCATCACGCACTGCCTTGGCATTTCGGCGCGGACCATGCACCTGTGCATCGCGTGGAGTTTTTTTGTGTACAGACTGCGGGCAGAATCTCCGAGCAGCGGACACAACGTATAAGCGAGTATGGACGTGGCGCTCCCGCTACTCAACGCACATTGGTGGAGGTCTAGGCACTGGGCTTGGCCAGGGTAATCAAGGGCAAAAGTGCGGGCGGGGAGAGCATTGCTTGGACAGCAGTGTGACAACAGTGTGCTGGGTTGAGATTGATTGTGCGGAAGGCATCAACCAGGAGCAGCCACGAGATCTAGACCACAGTACATTGGCACAGACGGGAACCCCGGACTATACAAACAAAGAGCCGGGATACTTCCAGCAGGAGATAGAAGGGATTGGAGGGGTGGTCAAGAAGAAAGTGAAAAAGCGAGTCAAAGTTGGTGCCACTGTCTGGGAGTTTGAGGATGAAAGAGGAAGTGGGAAGTACTTGGAACGAGAATCGCGCGGTAAACTACGGAGTTGGTGTGGATGGTGCGGGCGAGTCTGTCCAGGAGAAGATGATCAACCAGAGTCCTGGATGCATACAGTGATGCTCTAAGGGTGATGGTTTGATAGACAGTAGGAGGAATAGGTGACCGTAGAAGAGGGAAACAGCAAGGCTAGCATTAGAGTTGCACATCAGAGCCTCACCAAGGGTGGACCTGACGCCTATGGAAGGTGTCCGAGCGCGGGGAGAGGGGAGATCTCGGGAAAGGGCAAGGCCCGATGATGGGGGAAGATCAGGTACGGGATACGACTCCGAACAAGGTATGGAATACTGGCTATCTAGATACATGGCTGATATAGGAGAGGTACGAGGACTCTGTACGTGACGTAGCCAGGTGCCCAGTACTGCGTACCTTGTCGTCCGTACGGAGTCCTCGTAGCTGCACATGTCTGGCAGTGCTAGGCCCTGGCCCTGGTCCTTGCAGCGGGAGCGTCAAAAGCGTGGGAACTTTTACAAGGACCCGCCTGGTCGTCACGGTTATTGATTAGGCTCTTCCGCAGGGTAACACAAACATGTCGCCGGCCATTGTCAGTAACAGTACACGGAGTACACAGCCTTGTCCTCCATTACACCGAGCACCGCCAGAATGCTTCTGCCGCACAATCCACAAAAGCATGCACCAAGGATTGTAGGGACCCATGAAATGGGTCTTAGCAAGGGCCTGCTGTAGTTAAGAGTCCAAGATCTGTCCAGTGCATCACCTGCACGGACTCCGAAAATTACTCCTGCTTGATGCGGCGCGATTTCCCAATTCGCAGATGCGGCCTGTCGCAATTTACAACTTACATTTTACATCTGCCACCAAAACGAAAACCTCTTGAGTTAGATTTTGCATGGTCATCCCACGCCACTTGCAGCGATGAAAGTCTCTGTCTTGTTGAGTCAAGCTACTAGCTCGGCTGGATAATTAATTGATTATTATTCCCTTGTCTGCTCTTTCTACGGAGAGTACGGATACTGTAGTTGGTGCCGCGCAGTAACCCGAATTCACCGACAGCCTCTTTCATTCCACTCGTGAAGAGATTCTTTGTCCGCCTGACCCACTCGTTCTACGTAACGCGTGCTAGCGAGCCTCTCACCAAATAGCCGCTCCTTCCCCAGAATCTTTATTTTCTCACCTGCACCTGCCTGCCCCTGCGCCTCGCACCTCGCACCTCGCACCTAGTACCTTCCCCTGCACTCACTGTAACAAAACCATTCTTCACCGCAAATCTGGTTTCTGGCATCCGTGCCGACTGAAATCTCTCTCTCTCTCTCTCTCTATCCCTGCAGACACTGGCGAATCAGACCGAATACTCCTACCAGAGTCTCGGTCGTGTGATCCAACTCCCACACAAACCCAATCTCATACAGTTTGAGAACCCCCACTCAGGCCAACCATTTTCCAAGCAAAACTCTCTAGTGGGGTCCGAAACGACATCATAGACCCTTGTCTCCGTCGCCCACTCCGGTCTCTGTAATCGGTCTCTCCTCATTGTAAGTAAATTATAATTTATCCTCCACCCACCGCTCAAGCCTCTTCTTACCTTTGGTTTGCTTCTAGCACTTATCTCCCCCCATTCTCTTGTCATGAGCCTGCCAGATGGGCAACACCACAGACGGAACTCATCCCTGGAGCGTCGAGATCCCTATTCTTCTCCCTCAGTCTACTACGATGAAGATGCCGTAAGACGTCAACTGCTGGGGGCCCGCAACAGAACTGTTTCCTCGGTACGGTCTCCGAAAAAAGCATCTACTGGTCAATTTCATACTAACGACTTGCACCGAGCAGTACATCAAACCTGCTCGGGAGACACTCTTCGAGGCTACCAAGGGCGCTTATCCCATTCGACGTACCAGTCATGGTTGGTTCACCGGCCCATCCTAGTCCCCCTCTTATTTCAGACTGACATTCCTTCATTTCAGATGAGTACTATCAGCATCACCAAGAACTGTTGGTGGACGTGGAACGGACCCTTAAGGACCTGATGACAAGGGAGGACATCGACGGCAACCAGCAGATCACTATTGAAGATAATGGTCCCAAGGTAGCCTCCACCAAGTTCTTCCACTGTAGACGAAAACCACTAACACAACAACAGCACATTGCGTTGGGCACCCTTGCCTCGGCGGGTTACCGCTCGACCGAAGTCCGCGGAAACTACATGATCAGTAACCTCCTCCAGGAGTTGACCTTGGCACAAGATCTAAAGAAAAAGGTGGTCAAAATACATCGTTCGCGGCTGAGTGAAAATCCTGTCGATCGACTGTCTCGTCGCATCCGAGATGAGTTCTGGAATAACCTGACCAGAGCACTGGACGCTGCCACAATTGAAAAGGCTGGAAGAGACCCAAAGGATTGGACAGATGATCCGAGACCGCGCATCTACATTCCTCGTGCCTGTCCAGAACAGTTCGAGTACTATACCCAAGTGGTCAGAGACCAACCAGAAATGCGACTGGATGTCTGCTGGCTACCAGAAGGTCCCATCACGGCAGAGTATGTTCGCAGCCTCAATAGTGCTCCTGGAATCCTCGCACTTGCCATGAAAAAGACCATGATTGGCGGAAAGGAGACCCTCAAGGGCGAACCTTTCATCGTCCCCGGAGGTCGCTTCAATGAACTGTATGGCTGGGACAGTTATATGGAGTCCATTGGTCTGATCGAGAATGGCAAGATAGACATGGCCAAATCCATGGTCTTCAATTTTGCTTTTTGTATCGAGCATTACGGCAAAATCTTGAACGCCAATCGATCCTATTATCTGTCACGGTCTCAGCCACCCTTCTTGACAGATATGGCTCTCAAAGTATACGAGAAGATCAAGCACGAAGCCGGCGCCTTGGACTTCCTTCGATTGGCCATTCGGGCAGCTATCAAGGAGTATTACAATGTGTGGATGTCAGCTCCTCGCCTTGACCCTGTCACAAATCTTTCTCGCTATCGCCCTGATGGCTTAGGTGTCCCACCCGAGACAGAGTCTTCACATTTCCTCCACATTCTCACACCCTATGCTGAGAAGCATGGCATGACGTTCGAAGAATTTGTGCAAGCTTACAACAGTGATCAGGTGGAGGAACCAGAGTTGGATGAATACTTTCTTCACGATCGGGCAGTCCGTGAATCAGGACACGACACATCCTACCGGCTGGAGGGATGTGCGGCAAACCTGGCAACTATTGATCTCAACTCGTTACTGTACAGGTACGAGATCGACATCTCGTGGTGCATTCGGCAATACTTCAAAGACCGATTAGTTATCCCACCGGAATTCCAGACCGATGCAAATCGGAAAGAAGGCTACGAGACTTCGGCCACCTGGGATCGCCGAGCCCGATTGCGCAAGGCTCGTATCGATAAGTACATGTGGAACGAGGCCAAGGGCATGTACTTTGACTATGACACAATCAACAAAAAGCGCACTACGTACGAGTCAGCTACCACCTTTTGGGCCATGTGGGCAGGTTGTGCATCTCCCAAACAGGCAGCTGCACTTGTTTACAATGCTTTACCCAAGTTCGATTGTTTCGGCGGTCTCGTTTCAGGGACAGAAGAATCTCGTGGCCAAATCGGCATTGACCGACCGAATCGACAATGGGATTATCCATTCGGTTGGGCTCCGCAGCAAATGCTGGCGTGGGGCGGACTGATCAAGTACGGCTACATTGAGGAAGCGCAACGACTGGCATACAAATGGTTGTATATGGTCACCAAGGCATTCGTCGATTTCAATGGTGTTGTTGTGGAGAAGTACAACGTGACTCGTGAACTTGATCCACACAAGGTTGAAGCTGAGTATGGAAATCAAGGAGCTGACTTCAAAGGAGTTCCTCGCGAAGGGTGAGTTGCTGACATTCATCGAAAATTCTGCTTGGTTACTAACTGCGATAACCAGCTTCGGTTGGGTCAATGCCAGCTATGTATACGGCTTGTCATTCATTCCTATGCATATGAAACGAGCACTTGGAACCATAACGCCTTACGAAACTTTTGCACGTGCAACAGAAATTAAACTTGGAAGAGATGAAACAATCACGGAAGGCTCAGATGAGTCTGTTCCGGGATCTGCCGACGAGGCTGAAGCAGTTGTTATCTCGGAAGCGGAAAAATGAAATTCCGCTGACCGGTGTTTGTGGGAAATTGTGAATGGCATTGCTTTTCCTTGTCGATATTGACAAGGGCCCCTATTAAGCGCAGCGAGCAAGCGTCAAGTATGCAGGAATCCGACAGTCAAGATGACAATGGTCTTTTTATCATGGGAATGCTATCAAGTTATGGTTGTATATCGATTTAGGTATTTGTCGGTTAGATAGAGCGTGCGGCACTTATTCTCGTTTCAGTCTGTTCAATGGCGGCTTCGGAGTCAAATTGTGGCGGTGTCGCAACGGGGCATGCATTGTAAATAGGTGCTCGGTACGGGCGTGTCAAGTCCTACAATTACTATCCATGAAGATTCCTTCAACGAGAGACAGTGTTTTGACTCGTTGCCTTTCCAGCATTTCTGGTTCCGATCCATTTTCGTAACAATGTTTCCTTCAGGCTGGTTATTGGTTAAGACCGGCAAAAACATCGAATAAGAAGCATTGGAAAACTGAGGGCCCCAGAAGGGGCAGTCACGTGACTTGTGCCGAGGTTCGGATCCGTCGCATTTGGCATCAGGGTACGTGCAGATGCGGGACTTGTGTAGCGCAGCAGTGCCTTAACACCACGAAGCAGAAATGTAGCAATGCTCGAAGGTAGAGTGAGTGGTTCCAGAGATATGGATGTATCTCAATTATCTTCATTTCAATCAGAGCTCAATAGAGCTTGACTCGCCGGGCTTCTTCTCCGGAAAGAGTTATACCAAGACCTGGGCGGATGAACGGAGGAAAAGACCAACGTCATGGTGCACATGCTGTCAATTGCTGCTGCTCTGACCATGTCCTCTTTCCCCACAGGGCCGATCCTAAACCGAACGGCCATTTCCTGATGTGCTTGGATGGAAAAAGCTGACAAGGAAAACGCCTCCTTCGAAAGTCTCCTCCAGTCCGGATTCTTCCCCAATGATCACCTTTCCACCAATCATCGTCCGCCGCTGTTCCTCCCATGCTGTCCTCTAAGCCTATCCCGCCCTTGGACCGAATGAGAGCAGGCAAAAGCTTGGGGGTCTAGAGTCATCGACATGGCCTATTGCCGTCCTCGGTGCTTGAGCCCATCGCAGCTTGGTAGGACTTGCAGTCATTTGCTGGCTCGGCCCATCTCATCGTTCGGGTCGTTGGCTTGTGCTCTTTTTTACTTAAGTCTCGAGCACGCTCCGGTGGATGCGATTTTCCTCTGACTGTTTCCTCCTCTGAGTGTAAATCACTGTGATTTTGGATAGAACTCTCTCCTCTCCCCAAAAGCATTTTCTAACGACTGCATTGCTACGCCTGTTGAAGTCGCGTGCCTGTTGTCGTTTTCGGGTGTATATACTTTGTCACTACTACTGCTACTGTTACTGCTCCCTTACTTTAATGACATCAGCCATAACCAAGATTGTCGACACTGTCAAAATGGGTTTTATTGACGAGGAAGAGAGCCAGTACCTCCAGGACGTCGAAGCCGTCAAACAGTGGTGGACGGACTCCAGATGGCGCTACACCAAGCGGCCATTCACGGCCGAGCAGATCGTGCAGAAACGAGGCACTATCAAGATCCAATACCCTAGCAATGACCAGGCAAAGAAACTATGGAAACTCGTTGAGAACCGTTTTGCTGTAAGTCCCGTGCACACTACCCCCTCTTAGATGATCTATTCATTCTAACTTGGGATTTTTCCACACTTTGTAGACAAAAACCGCCTCTGCCACATACGGCTGCCTCGAACCCACCATGCTGACCCAGATGAACAAATATCTCGACACAGTGTACGTCTCGGGCTGGCAATCCTCATCCACAGCATCATCGACCGATGAGCCGTCCCCCGATTTGGCGGATTACCCCATGAACACGGTGCCGAATAAGGTCCAGCACCTGTTCATGGCCCAGCTGTTCCACGACCGCAAGCAGAGAGAAGAGCGTCTGACGACCCCCAGGGAGAAGAGAGGATCTGTCGCGAACGTGGACTACCTCCGACCAATCGTTGCAGACGCAGACACCGGCCACGGCGGCCTGACCGCAGTCATGAAACTGACCAAGCTGTTCGTCGAGAAGGGAGCCGCTGGCATCCATATTGAAGACCAGGCTCCAGGCACCAAGAAGTGTGGCCACATGGCCGGCAAGGTGCTCGTCCCCATCTCTGAACACATCAACCGTCTCGTTGCCATCCGTGCCCAGGCCGACATTATGGGTGTCGATCTCCTCGCAATTGCACGAACAGATTCCGAAGCCGCCACGCTGATCAGCTCCAACATCGACCACCGAGACCACGGCTTCATTCTGGGCTCGACCAACGCCAACTTGCAACCTCTCAACGACCTGATGGTCGCGGCCGAACGGTCTGGCAAAGCCGGTGACGAGTTGCAGGCGATTGAGGACCGGTGGATAACGGAGGCTGGCCTGAAGCTGTTCGAGGATGCAGTCATCGACGCAATCAACGCTGGCGTGCACGTCAACAAGGCCGGTCTGATCGCCAAGTACAAGCAGGCCGCCGTCGGAAAGTCCAACAGCGAGGCCCGCGCCATCGCCAAGGGCCTCACCGGTGTTGATATCTATTGGGACTGGGACGCCCCTCGTACCCGCGAAGGCTTCTACCGCTACCAGGGCGGCTGCCCCAGCGCCATCAACCGCGCTGTTGCCTATGCCCCATACTCTGACCTCATCTGGATGGAGAGCAAGCTCCCTGATTACGAGCAGGCCAAGGAGTTCGCGGATGGCGTCCACGCCGTGTGGCCCGAGCAAAAGTGAGTTATCATTCCGACCCATTTTTCCCTGCTCCCCTTATCTTCTTCCTACAAGCAGAATACTAACCAATTTCCCCCCCCCCCCCCAAAATGCAGACTCGCATACAACCTCTCACCATCCTTCAACTGGAAAGCCGCAATGGCGGCCAAGGACCAAGAAACATACATCCAACGTCTTGCGGAGCTGGGCTACTGCTGGCAGTTCATCACGCTGGCGGGCCTACACTCGACGGCGCTGATCTCAGACCAATTCGCGAAGTCGTTCGCCCAGCGTGGCATGCGCGCCTACGGCGAGCTGATCCAGGAGCCCGAGATGGAGGGTAAGATCGACGTCGTCACGCACCAGAAGTGGAGTGGAGCCAACTATGTGGATAATCTGCTCAAGATGGTCACTGGTGGTGTCTCGAGTACCAGCGCGATGGGCAAGGGTGTTACCGAGGATCAGTTTCATTGAGTGGGTTGAAGGCGGCAATTGTGAGAAAGGGGCGGAGAACGATAACAGTATTTGGGCCGTCAAGGGATCCTTGAGGGAGAAGAATGGACTAAATCAGGTGACGCCGAAGATGTCGAGCTGAAGTTGAAATCGCAGGAAGGATAAACGAAATTTGTTCGGGTTGTTGCCAACATGCATATATGCATAGTCGCCATTGAGAAGAGGGAGAGCATGTCAACGACGGATGGCGAAGGGGTTGTTGGGCCACCGGGTTATATTGCAGGAACCCTGGATATCTTTGAGCAAAAAGTGCTACTTAGCTGGCCGGCATTCATATCGAATACTTAGGTGAATGGACATGAAACATTCAATTCCTTCAGATGGTTGCGCCGAGCCTTGTCGGACTCACTCCGTGAAGAACGTCGTGATGCCAGGCAACGTCTCGAAGCAAACCCGGACTTCTTTTCCGGACACTTTCGCACGCGTGGCAGAGTTTGATGACAAGTACATGTACGGAGTAGTGTACAGCTGCAAGTCCTGCAGATCCTGGCAATCGTGTGGTCCCTGGTGCTGCTGAGCGCAGGCTTGTCCTCGGTCTGGTGCAATTCGAACAATTACGAAACGGTTTGATGGCGGCCGGGTATGCAATGCAGTACTCCGTATGTGGCATGCCATATGCAACATCTCCTATTCACCCCTACATCGTCTAGGATCGCGGGTACCACACGGTGGCTTGCTAGGGTTCGTCAGAATCCGGAGCCTTTTTACGGATTGCCGAAAGTATCCACTACGCGAATCACCCACTCATTTTGAATCGCCTTGCTTCCATCCAAGAACTTCCTCACTACTATGGTAATTCTACAGAGCTGTCCAGTAGGATTGCCTGGAAACTCCTCTTGAGTTGTCAGCAGAGAGACAATCTGATTGTCCTCACTTAGATTTCAGTGATCGTTCCGGCCGTTGACAGGTCGACTAGTCTTTACAAAGTGTTCAGTATATCCCTACTCCGGCCGGAGATCGATCGGTGAATCGACGGGCGCTGTTCTTCAACTCTCGCGATTCGTGCTTCGACCGAGACACTCCCAACCCGAATTTCTCGTCTCTTCTCCAGTAGCTTCCTCGCAGGTCAAGGACTTGGCGCATTACCAGCCGGAACCGCAAAGTGGGTCAATATGCGAGGAACGAGAACAGACAGCGATGGACGATGTAGTAGGAGAGCCAATTGCATCCCATGCGCACCTCACCCACGCGACGCCACTTTAGAAGCACCCCGTAAATCTCAACGGGGTGCGCCTGTTACTCTGTGAGCCGGCTCTGGGACGAGTCGTTGCGTCCTGGAATCAGAATGGGATTCATTGACTATTTTACCCTTGGAGCCCAGGTCGTGATACCAAGTATGTTCCCATTGATTAGTCGCCATCTTCTACTCTGAACATCCGACGAAGCTGCAGGTCAATCATCAGAAGACCATGGTTTATGGCAGACAACCACTTAAAATGCTCCACTAGGGACGTGGCTTTGGATGGTGGCCCTTTCAATCTCCGCTCACAGCGAGATGGCATTCTGACCTGCGCCGGCATACCGTGATTAAAAAGTATAACACCCTGACTGTCGTCGTTGCCGGCGCGGATTTACATTGTCACCGTGACCTTGCTCAACTCTATGCAGCAACGGTCCAGATCCTGAATACGAAACTGCAATGTGAGGTTTTTGGAGGGTCACGTCGATAAGTAGGCGACGCTGTCCTTGTCCAAATACCCCTCTCTTGTAGATTTTACGTGGTTAATGTAGCACCCCTTCCCTACTCACTTTTTGTTGTGATCGTCAATATCTAGGTGTGCTGCTCGCATCCAAGGAGGTTTCATTGTAGACCAAGACCTATTCAGATCGATCTAACCTGGTAATTGTTTCTTGAACCAAGGCTAATTGAGGTACGCACCGCGACCAATGTCCCATTTTTTTTTTCCCCGTGGGCTTGCTCCATTACAATCCTTTCTTGAAGCGGAACCGTGCGCAGCCTGATGGGACGAGCGACTTTGGCTCGACTACAGACCTCCTCGAAAGATCTATAGCATGGCGAGTCCTGAAGATTTCGGTCCTCTTCGTCGGACCAGCAGCTCTGGGCATGGTAGCCAACACTCTGAAAGTCAAGGTAAGCATGGGCATGAAAATCGAAGGCATTGAGACAAATCTGACTATTTCCATAGGTTCGGAACAAAGTGCCCAAGGCCGCACTGAAGGACTTTCTGGCCGCGCAATGGCCAAAGGTGTAAGCAACGTGATAAAAGCCCGATGCAGCTGGTGCATTTCAAAGAGGAAGAGCTGTGATAGTGCCAAACCAGTCTGCGGCAATTGTCAGAGAACTCCAGGTCGTTGTGAGTGGCCTGTGGGAAATCCTTCAAGGAGAGGCTTGCACGAGTCGATTGCCTCGCGGAGACTTGATCGAGGGGACCCGCAGGACGGCGGTCATGTCACGCCCAAAAAAGATTCAACAACCAGCGATACAGCCGGAGCACTGTTGGGCCCGGACGATGGACTTTTTCACGCATGCTTCGCCTCACCAGACAGACTTTTTACTCAAGTCGGACGCCCTGCAGCAGGGGCGTCCCCAACGCAGCAATTGCCAGTCCAGAACCAGGCTCCAGATAATAACTCGAACGAGAGACTGCGTCTCGACCAAGTTCGAACGAAAGTCCTCGAGAGTACTAGATCGTACCTAGGCTGCAACACTCAACCTCTAGTTTTAGAGAAGAACGTGGATTGAGGATGCTTTGCTTTAGTCCTTGGAGTTTAGGGTTAGGATATGCTAACTCCTTATGTTGGATTTCGGAACGGAGGAAGGAAGGTTGACCACGGATATGAGAACGCAGCTCCTGTCAAAAAGATTAAGATTATGCATTTCCGGCACTTATTACAGCCTTTGGTCTTGTGGGCTTCTAAGGACGGTTAAATTAGAGCGATGCGAATGAAGACGGCTGACGAGCTGACGTTCAAAGCGTCGTGGCAGTAAGATAAACACCCACAAAGTGCGACCAGACCAATGGTGAGGATGGCGACGACCACCCAACACCTATGCCGGTCATGCAGTACGAGTCGACCGGCAGCAGACAATAGAAGCCACGCTGCACTGGTCTAACTAGGATCAAAATCCAGTGATCCTGGACAAATGACGGCGAAAATGGCACTTGACGTTCTACTTGACAGGAAGAGACCCCACGAAAGGACGAACAGAGGAATCGGGGCAAATATCATACTCGTTTGGCGGAGGCCGGATTACAACTCCTCCTCGTCCTCCGACCCGCCCCGAATCCCGATCGTCTCCCGCCAAGTCGCGCCTATCGATGGACCCTAGGACCAGCCTCAGCTCCAGGGATAGTATTTTCAAATCGCAGTGCATACTTGGGAGGTCACTTCTCAGCATGGGGCGTAATGATTGCATACATTGGCGTGGGAGAAGGAAGAGATACGTTTCTTTCAATATAAGTCGAGCGGATTGACCATGGCTGACTCGGACGGCAATATCCAAGGTCAAATGGTTCCTCTTTGACCCAAGGCAAAGGCTGACACAGATCAAGCAACTCAATCGAAATGGATATCCCTCCGGCTCGGGAGGTGGAGGAAAGGAGTGGAGGAAAGGAGTGGAGGAAAGGATACCTTTGGGTGCCTTTTGTCACGCCTCTCGAATTAGTCAGCAAGGCTGTAAATATCTATCCAAGCGATTCCCGGTATTCCCACCAGAAACTAGGCATCCGAAATAGTTTCGGGCCGAGCCATTAGATCCACGTACTCGAACATGTATGTACGGTAGGTACCACCAACGCTGTCGACAAACCTTCCCTCTCCTTTGTCCCAGTACAATATTCTCTGAACAGTGTAGAAGGGATGTCAGACATATCCACAGCCTGGAAGGGTACGAGGTATGATCACAACGCGGTGGATGGATGTTTTACTCGGTGCGCAAGATAGCCCTGTGGCCCGCTCTTTCATTGGTCGCAGCCTTATCACATTGCTTTCTTGGCCGGCTCGCTCAGCAAATGTTGCAAGACATCTACCGATTCGCACGAACATGCTGAGAGCGCAGTCTGAAGTCCACTATATCGACTCAAATATGCAATCATTTAATTGTTACAAAGTACAAGAGGTGAGTATTTAGGAGCCCCTGGAATGCTCAGAAAGGGAACTGTGAATCTTAGCTGGGGGAGAATCCCAGGGGCCACGGGATGTGACGCGCTTTCTTCAAATACCAATGAGACAGTCTTCCACGTTTCTTCTCAGAGAAGTGATAGTGTTGAGTGAGTTCTGTTATTGCTGGTTCACCCGCAAATGAATACAACAAAATGACAGGCGGAGAAGGAGTCAGTCTGATAACACAAAGGTCGAACACAAAAAGTATCTCAACGTCAACCATCTTCCATTCCCACCAATCCCCATCTTGCAAATGGTGAATTGGTCACACCTTCTTCTTCCCCTTCGGTACTCTTGCCAGCCAGTAAAGAGCCAGCGCTGCAACAATGTTGAATGCGATGAACGCCCAGAAAATACCGAAATTGCGCCACCTATCCTCGTAATGGGCGCTGATGCTGGACAAGAACACGTTCGTATCCTTTACTTTGCAGTAACTGCAAATTCCAGTCGTGTTTGGGTGCCGGACATAACCCCCGGCTTGTGAAATGTAATTTGCCATGTAGTCGCCGCATGTTCTGCCCTCGGGGGTAGTGATGGTGGTCCATTCGTTATTTGCACATGTGACCTCAGCATTGGCGAGGCCGGCGGACAGAACCGCTGAGATCCAATAATTCAAGGGTGAGACCCGGTATAAGAATATCCAAAATCTTGGCATTGCGTCTGGTGGAGCGAGAACGCCACAAAAGAAGAATATTGAGATGAAAAGGAAATTCGCCATGTTTCCTCCCTCCTCTGCATTTTCAACCGCGGCAACACACATGTGTGCAAAAGTCGAGGTGAAAAGGAGAAGTTGCCAGAATAGAAGCCACATCAAAGCTCCTCGCTCGACTCCTTGCCCGGCGGCGTTGGCATTTTTGTAAAAGCCAACCGGATAGTACACAAGCGCCCACATGAACACAGATGCTAGAGCAGTCCAAGGAAGCTCGGAGATGATCTGGCTGAGCATGAAGACCTTCCAGGAATAGGTTTTGGCAGGTCGTTCCCGGACTTCGTACAGAGAGCGCTGTTCAATAAATTGTGGCATTTGCTGGTCTATCAACTGCGATAATATACTGCAAATCTCGAAAATGGCAAACATCTGGTTTTGAAGCCCCTGAATGGTCAATGGTGCGTCGAGAAAAACAAGACCAATGAAGAGGCTGCTGCCAATGCAAAGCAAAAGCTTGGAGTAAATGTAGGTGGGCGTTCGGAAAAGATGTCGGACTGCTCGGCGGTGAACGACTATAAACTGCTGCCACAGTGGTTCGGCAAACTCATGATGTTGCGTGGGTTCGTTCTTTCCTTCCGTGGAAGGCTGATCTCCCTTCGAGGACTCGAGGCTTGTCAATTCGTTCTGAACAGCTTGATATTCCGAGCTAGACCTCTAGGTCTGGAACCAGTCGACTTGAGAGTGACTATCTGGTGCAGCGCCAATCGCCTCTAGCATCCATTCCGCGAATTAGCGCCGGGTGGGCAAGGTATTGAACCATTGCGCTCGAAGTATTCAGTAAGCACATTTGAGTTATCACCAATCTCGCCTACATTTCCGATACATCAGGGTAAGCTATAGACCAAATGGGCAGTCTGATTGCAGGTGGAGAGGGGATACTCACCAAAGTATACCGTTTGGCTGCCCTCAGCCAACAGTAGCAGGCGATCGAACCGCTGAAAGAGCATTGCAGATGGCTGATGAATGGCGCAAAGTATGGATTGGCCCGCATCCGAGAGCTTTTTGAGTAACTCTAGAATGGCCCAGCTCGTTTGAGAGTCAAGTCCTGATGTAGGTTCGTCGACGAAAAGTAGAAGTGGAGGTCTAGCCGCCAGCTCCACGCCAATAGTTAAGCGTTTGCGCTGCTCGACATTTAGACCCTCTCCTAAGACACCAACAATTGCGTCTGCAAAATCCTGCATATCTAATAGATCCATGACCTCCTCCACATACGCCAGCTTTTCACCCTTTGAGACACTAGATGGCTGACGAAGAAGAGCAGAGAATTGTAGAGCCTGTAAGATTAAGTCAGTTTGCTTGATTGTTTAGGAGGTCCTTTCTCCACTATTACTAGAGTGTGATGATGGATAGTGGCGATATTCTTACCTCCCGTACTGTACTCGTTTGCAGGTGCAGATCATGTTGTTGACCATAACCTGTTTTGCGTTGAAAACTTTCATCCCGCATTACTCCATCAACCAACATTTCACCAGTAATAATGCCCACACCCGCGCGTCGATCTGCTAGACAGTCCAAGAGTGTGGTTTTGCCGGCTCCGGATACCCCCATCAAGGCTGTTACAGTGCCAGGTTTCACCCAACCATCGACAGAATCCAAAATACGCCTAGGCTTGCCTTTAATATTGATGTCATAGCATACGTTCCTCCAGTGAAACACGCCTTGGGAGCGTTTGAAATCGTTCTTGTTGCGTATATCTGACCGACCAAAGTTCGCGACAGGCGGTGAAGATCCCGAGAATGATTTTTCAACATCGTTACCCATTTTCGAAATTGGAGCAACGACTCGGTGACGGAAGACAAGAACTTCACCTTTCGACTTTTTGGCTGTGATACATTCGCTGGCCGTGAAATAAACGAGATGACCGAAAGCTGCGATTGCGATAACAATACCGACATTCCGCCATTTATGAGCATGGTGATAGCTGTATGCTGAACTGATGTAGTCCTCTCCTTTCACATAGGACTGTCCTGGGACGGCTCCCACTGCGTCACAAGCCGTAGTGCCGGCAGTGACATCTATGTAGCCGGGAACATAACCCGAGCACATGAAATTGCGGCCGTGGAACTCATTCACCATCAGGGACTCATAGCCCCAGCCAACTGGGTTCACATAACAGATCCAGCGGCACCAACCCAGCATGTAGTCAATGGGGACAACAAATCCGGTAAAAATGATCAGGGCAAGCATTATAAATGTGGCTGGAACCATGGCCTGCGATTCTGTTCGGGATACTGAGGCACTGAGAACGCATTAGATTTTTCGGTCATTGACTATTCATAAATCAGGTGACTTACACAGATCTGAAGACCCCAGACATAGCCATGACAATGCAGAACTCCACAAGGAGATAGAAAAAGAATGGGCCGGGGGCACGGTTGAGATTCGTCATGAAGTAGAATACCATATTGAATGAAACGATGTTGGAGATCTTCACTGGTAGGTCAACCAGTACAGAAGCATATGACTCCGCCGATGGATGATAGAAAGCATAGCGAGATTGCTTTTCCACAATAGGTTGTTGTGAATACAGCGTGAGAATCTCAAGCATGGAAGAGAAAGCATTGAATAGAATTGCCACAAAAAGAACGACTGCGCGGCTGCGAAATGAAGTTGTGTTTGGTTCAAGATTGTAGAACAAAGACGAGATGATGAGCGCCATGACTATGCTGCCAATTGACATGGTGAGAGTCAACGTAGGATCAGCTTTAAGCTTTCGGTAGCCGCGCCAGGCGCAAAGCCGGACCTGCTGGACATAGGTCAGGGTGTAAGGCGACTTCAGCCGTTGTCCTTTCGCTTGATGTGACTTCTTAAGTCGTCGATAGGTATCTGCGTCCTCAATATTGATTGGGTGATGTTGGCACCTAAATGACTATCGATGGAACAGGCAAGCAACCTTGTGATGACGATCAATGAGTCAGTGCTACAGCTTTTGGAATGCTTTGGAATCATGGAAAATAGGCTCCAGGAGGTCATTTGCCTAGTAATGTTCTATATAAACTAGAACGGTAACCATAGAGTAGAAGAAGATAGAAATCTTATCTACGCTAACTTACCTATATCGATTAGCCTATATAATTATATAGTCCAAATCCTCCAATAGTTATAAGCCCGGAGTAACGTTTTTCCGACTACGTAATACCGTAAATACGTAAATACTAGCCTATAATTAGTGGAAATACGTTTACTACTTAGGAAATAGCTAATACTTTAATAACTATATAAATATTACGGACTAGGTTATAGATAAGGTCGCTAGGATAGGCACTAAGCGTTCTAAGGGACAGTATAAGGAAGGTCAGCCGATAGAGAACGAGGCTGCATTACGTGACCAAGGAAGTATATTAGTGTATTGTTACATTAGGAGTAATATAGTAATATAATAAGGTAGTACTTTAAGCATTATATATATACATTCCTTTACCTAGATAGAGTAGTTCGTAGTTAACTTCGTTAGTAATCCTATACCTATATTTAGGATATAGTTCGACGACTAAATATTTCCTTTATTATCTTAGTTAATACTCTAGTACTTACTCTATTAAGAAACCCTACCTTAGTTAGAACTACTTATAGCTCGGATTATAATACTTTAACTACTACTTAATTAGTATTAAATTATTAGGCACTACTCGTACTAATAGGTAGAACTACTAGTAGAGTAGTATAAATAGTCTTAATATTAGATCTATCTCTTAATTATAAGTAATACCTTAACGTATCTATCGTAGTAAGCTTAAAGTATAAGGTTCCCCTAAGACCCGTATACGATGAGTAGCTCTTATATACTAGAATCTCGGCGTTTACTTAGTAGCGCTTATTCGTTCCTAATATTATCTTCTCTCCCCTAGGTTCTTCGTCCTCGAGGAACTAATTTAGATAAAGTATAGTATACGATACGTATATATATCGTAGCCCTATAGCGCACGATATATAGTAGTTTATCTACGTTATTAATATTAAGGTCTTTATTATTATTTCGTTTTCTAAGACCTTTATTTATATCTATACTTCTATTACGACCTCGTATATAAGCCGTATACGAGTTAGTATCGCGCTCGACTCGCTTACGTATCGGACTACTTACTATCCTAATAGGTAAGAATTAGGACTTTACTATACTACTAAATCGTATTTACTCTTAGTAAGTTCTATTATCTCCCTCTAGTAGCTAAGTATTATTCTATACTCCTCGTAGGCTAATCGCGATTCGTTCTCCGGCCCTATTCTATAGTAAATAGGCTATCCTTAAGTACGATATTATTTATAGATAAATAAGTATTTATTCCTATTTATTCTAGAGTAAATAGGCGTAGATAATAGTATAGTAAATATATAGTAGTTACTCGCGAGTAGTTAGTAGTCTAGTTCCGAATATATATATATATTCTTCCGCTATATAAGGATTTAGCTAGGAATTTAGAGTAATTCGTCTAACTACCGTATAACGAGGATTCTAAAGCTAAGGAGAGAAAAGAAAAGAGAAAATCTATCTACTATACGAATAAAGGAAATACTTTCTATCCTCTCCTATAGTAGATTAGTATAGTTTCCTAGGAGATAATCGATAGAGAAGAGTTACTATTACGAACTAGGTTACTAAAAGGGTCGCTAAGGATAAGCTACCCGTACTTAGACAAAACAAGGAAGTTAGCCGATGGAGAACGAGGCTACGTTACGTAATAAGGAAATAGACTATAGAGGACTATAGACTATAAGTCTAGTCTAAGTAAGTCTATAGTCTAGACTAGCATTATATATATACGCTCCTTTACCTAGATAGTATAGTTCGTAGTTAACTTCGTTAGTAATCCTATACCTACATTTTAGGATATAGTCCGACGAATAAGTATTTCCTTTATTATTCTAGTTAATACCCTAATACCTACTCTATTAAGGAACCCTACCTTAGTTAGAACTACTTATAGCTCGGATTATAATACTTTAACTACTACTTAATTAGTATTAGATATTTAATATAGGATTATCTCGACTTAAATTCCTACTACCTAGTGTACGTCTACTTATAGCCTTAAATAATTCTTTAAAGACTAATATCGTTTAAGATAGTAGTTTAGACGAAGACTTAAACGTAGATATAGTTAACGTACTAGGACTTACTAATATATCTCGAGATAGTATTAAGGTAGAACTATTCTATAGAAATAGAGAGAAGCTAGGATACTTCCTTATATAACTTAAGACTATCTTTAAGCTTAATCTAACTAAGTATACTAGAATAGAGGATAAGGTTATATTCGTAGCGATATACCTTAAAGGAGTAGCGTTCTATTAGTTTAAACTAGTATAGAACGACTACCTCGAGTCCTCTAGCCCCGACGACGAAACTAAGGTATACTTTAGGAACTTCGCGTAGTTCGAAATAATAATTAAATAGATTTATAGTACGGTTAATAAAGCTACGGTAGCTTCTCGTACTATATATACCCTTAAATAAATAGGATCTATAGTAAATTATTATTCGGAATTTAAGAAACTAGTAAAGGAACTAGAATATATAGATAATAATATCTTTAAGAATACGTTTTATAATAGATTAAAGAAGGAAGTTAGAAAGGAAATAATAGAGCGCCCGGAAACGTATAAAGATATAGTAGATAAAGCTATTAAACTTAATAATTAACTATACGAATTATATATAGAAGATAATTAAATAAGAAGCTTAGGAAGACGAGGATACCGAAAGTATCGATATTCTCCTCGAGTTAATACGAAACGCCTACGAGACTATAAAGACCCTATAGACCTAGACGCTATAGAATATTATAATACTTAACGAATAGGTCTAGGTAGAGGTCGAAATATAGGGCGAAAGGTTATAGAAGGACGAGATCGAGAGAAGGAAAGATAAAGAAAGGAAAACTTATACTACGAATATAGTAAGCTCGAATACTATATACGCGATTATCTAGAAAAGAAAAGCGCTCGAGGACTATATATAATAAATATATAGAGCGATAGTATAGACGACTTAATAGCGAAAAAGGTCGATACTATTAAAGAAACCTTAAGATCTATCGAGAATAAAAGTAAATTAGTATAGAAAGACTACTAGGAATCGAATAACTCTCGAGGATTAAGTAAATTAAATACTAAGTAATTAGAAGAAGAGTTCTAGTTAAGATATTAGACTAAGAAGCCTAAAGAATCTAAGCGTAAGTCTTAGAAGAAAAAAAAGTTCGACGAACTTCTAAAGGGAGAATAGTAGAGCGAAGTAATATATAACGCGAGGAGAAATATCGTAAGATACGCTTAGAAATTATAGTATTTCTATTATAAGGACGACTATTAATTCTATTTAGCTTTAAAGACCGAAAAATAGTAGTTTCTATATAAAGATAGAGAAAGTATAAAACCTCGAAAATAGAAATAGAAAGTCTAGGAAACCCTAGCTATAATAATAGTCGATTTCGAAAAAGAAATAATACTTATAAATATAGATAACTATATAATAATTAGAATAAGATTCTAGAAGATAGTTAACGAAGTTATAGTATTAGATAGAAGAATAACGTAGAAAATATTTAGGACGACGTTAATCTATAAGTATTAAGCCCGAGGATATTAATAATATAGATATATCTATACGTATACGAAAGATAGAGAACTATATTAACTAAAAATTTAGCGAGAAGAAGATAAATAGATATCGATAGACGAAATATTATAATAATATAAGAACTCTACGAAATTCTATATATATTTTTAGGATAAAAGGAAAGGAGAAACTCTATATCGTTATAACTTAGGCGCTACTCCTAGAAGAAAATAAAAATATATATAGATCTAGAAATATAACGACTAGAAATATTCCTTATAAGCTAAATATACGTATAATACGTATAACGGGAAGGCTTACTTTATAATCTTTAAAGGGCTCGATAAAGGAGTAATCTATACGGAAGGATAGCTAGTTTAGCTTAAGTAAGAACTATTTAGCTTAAGGACGGTAACGCTACTACCGCCTTACTATAATATATCTATAATAGAAAAAGGATTCGCGAATAAAATTTTACTAAATAAGTCCGATCTAGTAATTATCCGAATCTACTACTAGGTAGTAGGACTAGCGAAAAACCTCGGAATATAGTATAATCTCCTAAAATAACCGAAGAAAGAAAGAATCTATATAATAATCTATAAATATACCTAAGATAAATACGAAGATAAAGAAAATAGCTATACGTACGACTATATAGACTACGTATTTCCTTTCCTATTTAGAGAAGGAAAAAATAATAACTAATTAGAAGAATTACGATAGTAGTTAAATAAATACGAGAAAATAAGACTATAGAGAATAATATATACCTACCTCGATAATATTATATAAATAAAAGAAGAAAGTAAAGTAGTAGTATTAGAATATTATTTTATAGTATTTATTACTAACTACTACTAGGTAAGTATAGAGAACGATATTAAAAAATTAATATTCTACCCTAGCGAACTAAGATAATTAATCTAAAGACTAGTTAGTCTAAATAGATACTATAACTTAAAATATTTAGTAGTAGCTTCTTACTATTTATATAATATAGTAGGGAGTAAAGTAGTACGCTATAATCTACTAGTATAAACGATTAGAGGAATATAGGTACGATTAGTATTCCTCGTTAATAAAGAAGAAGAATAGGAGGAAGTAAACGTAGAAGAATCGAA